GAAGAGAAGATGATATGACTGTATCACATCGTTCGTATTACTCGTTTTCTACCACTTTTTGTCGCATGCGCGCTTCAATAAGAAGGCAAAGAACGGCTCGACGGGGTGACACACTCATACTGCCTGACGAGCCCAAGCGTCCGCAGCGAGTTAGAGTATACACCGAGCAATCGTAGCGGTCTTATCAGTAGCAAAAGCTCCATCCAAGCTCAGAATGAAGGGAACTGGTAACTGGCGGGAATCCTCTATTTCCCTCTGCTTGACTCTGCCTCTGTAATGCTGCCTCCTACCGTACGTACTTCTCTATGAAGAGTTCCCTCAGTTGTGCGTACAACTGCTATAGACTGCTAGGCTCACTTTTCCAGCTTTTTCTTCCCTCTTAGCAATGTACGCTGTGGTAGGGCATTCTTATCTGAAGGTAGAGCTAGAAGAGTGAGCCAAACCGCTTCTGAGATTGCAGAGAGTTGTTTTAGAGGCAATCTGTGGCTATCAACCTATTCCGATTGAAGGGGCGGTGAACTTATTGTGATTTCCACAAAAAGTCCATCAAAATCCTATAAATGTTTCTAAAAGACAAACGGCACATTGTACCTTTCCCCAGTACTTTTTTAGCGACCTTTGGCAAAATTATGACGAAAAAAGTTCTGAAAAAAAACTGCCGTACAAAAGTTCGCTTTAGGTAGCCCACGTTGAGCAGCTCACCGGATACAAACGCATAAAGCGGGGATACAGGTAATATCCGCAGTTTTCCTTTCTTTATGTGTTCCCTTAATTTCAGTATAAGATTACAGACCTCTGGCGGAACGTCTGCAGAGCCAATTCGATTTCTCATCTGTACAGTCTCCTTCCGATCCTCTCTACAACTATCAGTGGTACCTGGTGAGACCTATACAGTGATAAAGACGTTGCCTTTGGAATTTTCGGCGTCAGTAGAAAACTACGATGTAATTGCCAAAACGGGTTCATTTTTAGAAAAATACTGGTCAAGCGGGTGGCAAGGCACGTCTCGACCTAAACGTTGAGAAGGTACGAGTTTATTTGTTCCGGCTGGAATCATTGTTTTAGCTTCAGTGCAAGCAAAGCTGTGAAAAAGTAGCGTTAGAGGTGCTGCCCGTTCTAATCAGGGCACTTCTTGCGTTGGAATTATCAACGGGGCTCGTATTCGGTCGCTCGGGAGAGGGGCGAAAGCCTGTTCGGGCCAAGGAAAATCTTTTTGAGTGTTCAATTTTTACGTTCCACTGTGTGCACACCTAGTCGGTAGCACTGTAAGACTACTGCTGTTTCTGATAATTGGTCTGGAGTGCATGCATCCCCCTCGATGGCAGGGTTTAGATTTTTTACAGAGTGATAGG